ACTTGTTTATGGAGTTGAAGCGGTCCTTCCACTTGAGCGTCAAATCCTATCATTGTGGCTTTCCATTTAAGAAGGACTCACTGATGAAGAAAATTCTCGGTTACGCCTTGAAGAATTGGAAGCTCTTGATGAAAAGAGTCTAGAAGCTCAACAAAGCCTTGAATGTTATCAAGCTCGCTTGTCTCGATCTTTTAACAAAAGGGTGCGCCTTAGATCTTTCCAAGTGGGTGACCAAGTTCTTATGGTCAAAAAGCCTATTATTACCTCTCGTCGGTCTGGGGGGAAATTCTCTGCTAAGTGGGATGGACCATATATTGTACAAGAGGTATACTCAAGTGGCGCTTACAAGATAGTTGACTCAGAAGGTTTGCGGATTGGCCCTATCAATGGGAAATTCATGAAGAGATACTATCCTTGAATAAAACAAATACACTCCTTAACACATAAGCCTAAACTACAAGTTATAATGCTCCTCAATGCACGAGCCTATAACTTGCTGAGCCTAAACTGCAAGTTATAATGCTTCTTGGTAGATAAGTATATATTGTATGTAACGAAGCTCCCCAATTTTGAACTAAATTTTTAAGACGTAAAGCTCTTCAAATTCAAGCAAAGTGTTCAAGTTTTAAAATTCATCAAATTCGAGAAAAGACTCAAGTCGACAGCTCTTCAAAGTCGACCAAAGACTTCAAGTTGCAAAGTTTTTTAAATTCGAGCCAAACCTCAAGACGTAAAGCTCTTCAAATTCGAGTAAAGTGTTCAAGTTGTAAAGCTCTTCAAATTCAAACAAAGTGTTCAAGTTGCAGAATTCCTCAAATTCGAGAAAGACTCAAGTCGAAAACTCATCAAACTAGAGAAAAGACTTCAAGTTGCAAAGCTTTTTAAATTCGAGCCAAACTTCAAGTTGTAAAGCTCTTGAAAATTGAGCAAGTCTTCAAGTTGTGAAGCATTTCGAAAAATAAGATAAATCTTCAAATTATTATGCTCCTAGAAGCACGACCCAAAATTGCATGTTATAAAGCTCTTTAAATTCGAGCAAAATCTTCAAGTTGTAAAACTCCTCAAAACACAAGCTTAAATTGCAAGTCGTTGCGCTCCTTAACGCACGAGCATAAACTGCATGTTACTCCTGACCCGCAAGAGTATAAACTGTGCACGGTCCAAAAAAAAGTCCGCTAGGTTGAAAACCTCGAAAGAGGCGGCTTAGGAAAAAGTTAGGAGGTCCAAAAAAAAGTCCACTAGGTTGAAAACTTCGAAAAAGGCGGCCTAGGCAAAAGTTAGGACGCAAAAAAAGCTCACCTATTTCGAACTACGGAATGACTTGATCCTCTTCACCGAGGTACGTAGGCAGCTTAGAGTTTCATTCTAAGTTCATTCATATGAGTTCAAACAATACATATTACCCAAGGCCTTATTCAAAGGAAGTATGGTGGAATATATTCACTTGATTAGCACTTGAAAATTAGGTGTACATGTATTCTTTTGTTGAAATCTCTATCTTATCTTGATGGCCCAAGGGGGCAAGCCCTCAACGTCAAATTGAGGTCTTTGATGAATGATTGTAGTTTTTTTTAATAAAAGTCTAAATCTTCAAGATGAAGTCTCCAATTGTAAGCCAAATTGATTTCGTTAAGTCTGCTAGATCATCAATTTGAAATATTCAAGCCCGCTGAGTCATCAAGTTAAAATCTCTGAATTCACCAAGTCAAGTTAAGGCCTTCGAAATCGTCAAAACTTGAAGTCTTCAATTCTTTTCAAGTTGAATCACCAAGTTAAAGTCTTCAAATCCACTAAGTCTTCAAGTCGAAGTCTTCATATCTGTCAAGCCTTCAAGTAGAAGCCTTCAAGTCTACCATGTCTACAAGTAAAATCTGCAAGTTAAATTCTTCCAAGNATATATATATATATATAAAAGAGATTATAAAATTACCTGTGAAGATTGAAATTGAAGAGATATTCTTAGTGGTCAGTTTTTTTGAAAAATAAATCATTCTTCATACAATCTTTGATTCTTGTATTTCGAAATGAGGACGAGTTTTTGTTCCTTTGAGCCAAAAGGTTAAATCTTTTGGCTGTAAAGTAAACTCTATGGCTTAGATGGTGTAATGGTCTTTGTCAAAGATAAAGAAGTCAAATTTTCAAATAAAGTGAAGTCTTTAGCTCAAATTGTGTAATGTCCTTCGCTTCAAATAAAATGAAGTCTTTAGCTCAGACGGTGTAATGGTCTTCGCTTCAGATAAAATAAATCTTTGGCCCAGGCGGTGTAATGGTCTTTGCCATAGATAAAGAAAGTAAGTTTTCAAATAAAATAAAGTCTTTAGCTCAGACGGTGTAATGGTCTTCGCTTCAGATAAAATAAATCTTTGGCCCAGGCGGTGTAATGGTCTTTGCCTCAGATAAAATAAAATCTTTGGCTTAGGTGGTGTAATGGTCTTTGCCATAGATAAAGAAAGTAAGTTTTCAAATAAAATAAAGTCTTTAGCTCAGACGGTGTAATGGTCTTCGCTTCAGACAAAATAAATCTTTGGCTCAAACGGTGTAATGGTCTTCGCCTCACATAGAATAAAGTCAAATTTTCAGACAAAATAAATCTTCGGCTTAGACGGTATAATGGCCTTGGACTCAAATAAAGTAAAATCTTTGCTTCGATAGTGTAATCGCCTTCGCCTAAAAAAAAGGGAAAGAAGTCTCCTACTTGAGATGGGATAAATCTTAAGCACTTCATATTACTGCTTTATCAAAACTCTGGAAAAAAAAGAAGAAAAAATATGAATGCAGAATAATTTCAAAGACGGTGAAGGAGATGAGTTGCATGTTAACAAAATTTAAGCAACTCAAGTCTCCTTAGTTCCTGAAAGTAAATTCTATTCCTGTTGCCGACAACGGACCAAAAGTCTAGTAAGTTATGTAGTTTTCTTGGTGAATGATAGATGGGGTTTGCGTTAGTTCAAATACTACTTCCAAATTGCATAATGGAAGTACAGGGACTCGAAAAGAAAAATTCTCACATCAGAACTCAATTATATGACAAGACATGTGAGTTAGCTTTTAAAGATACTATTAAGAGGATTGAAGGTAAGCAAATGTACAGCGGTCAAAGCAGTACAAATTCAATAAAAGAATTCCACAGCATGTGATAAAATTTGGAAGTGTAAAGAAAAATAACAAAAGGTTTGTGAAGCTTTGTCACTTAATGTATATAAAGTGAAGAAAGGTAGAGAAATAAAGTACTACATGCCATAAAGTGGACTAAGAAAAGTTTGGCATGTACCTATTATGCGGGGGAGGCATGAAACAAAATTTGTGATAAAAGTCCAAGAATATCTTCACGTTGCTCGTTTCTTGCGTAGAAGAAGTGAAAGTACAGAAAAAATGATATTGTACTTGGTATTAAATGTGACATGCAGTAAACAAAAGGTGAATAGTACAAAAGGAAATAACATTGTACCGGTGTTGAAAGTGACATGAAAGTAGGAAAATTGGCATGAAAAGGAGATGACTACCTTTCGTAAAGAAAAAATAAATACAGAGAAGTACTTGCTCTCCTCCAGTTTGCCAAGAAGTGATGGTATTTTGGATTTTAATATCATGCCTCCTGTTTATATAAACCCAATAACGAGGGTAGTAGCAGTGTCCCAAATAAAGTAGGTTAGTCTAGGATAATTATCTTTTTGATAAGCCTGACATATCCAATCTACAAGGATAAGTGTTTTACTCCACCTTGAAGTCTTTATATGATAACGGCATTTTCAAATTAAGACCGGAAGTACTAGGACTCCAAATAAAGCCATCCCCATGCAATAACGTTCCAAGAAGTTTGTTTGATTATGAGTATAATTCATTAAAATGGCAATTTGACCATATATGACAATCAATGAAAATTCTAATGCTTCTGGAATTGAAAATTGGCATCATATATGAAGATTCTTTTGCAGGGGCCTTGTACGTAAATTCTTTCAGAATTATTTATCATGGACTTTCAATTCCAGGCTCTCAAAGCATGGCCAATAACCTCGTTGAAAATTAATGAAGTAAGCCTACAAGTTGGTAAATTATCCAACGTCAAGTCCATTCCATGTAATTGGATAGAGGCAACAAAAAAATATATATGATGTTGTCTCCAATTATACCTCAAGCCCAGTCTTTGAAGTTCGATATTTCTATACCCGACAAGTCTTCAAGTAGGGGCATTTGTAAGCATTTAAATTTTATCGGATTTAAATTCATAAAATAATTTAGACCATATTAAATTCAAGATATTAGTCCAAATAAATATTGTGACTAGTAAATTGGGCTAATTATTTAAATCCAATATATATGTGTTGGGCTAGTCCATTTAATTGGACTATAAATTAAATGATAAGTCCACTTCCTTAGCGCAAAGTCCAAATGGCTAGTAGCCCGTCTTAAAGCCCAGGCTCATGCCACATGTCAAGTGACGCGGCAATCCAAGCCAAATAAATGAGCCAATGAAATCATGCCATGTTTCAAGTGACATGGCAATCCAAGCCAAATAAATGAGCCAATGAAATCATGACATGTGTCAGGTGATGTGACAATCCAAGCCAAATAAATGAGCCAATGAAATCATGACATGTGTCAGGTGATGTGACAATCCAAGCCAAATAGATGAGCCAATTAAATCATGCTAAGTGTTTGGATGGTACTGGCCAGTGCAACCCCTACAACTATAAATAGAGGTTTCATAAAGCTAGAAATACCATAAGTAATAACAAGAAGCAAGCAGAGAGCTCGTGGATCAAACACTGTAGATTTCTTTACAAGTAAGCATTCAAGCACCAAGGCGTTCAAGATCAAATTACTTGGAGATTCAAGATCAAATTACTTGGAGATTCAAGATCAAGTTTTACATTCTTGAAGAATCAGAGGAATACCATAGAGATTGTAACACTTTTATTTATTAAAATTAAATATTATATTTGTTGCGCAATTTTCCAGTATTATTTATTTTACTCCGCGCGAAAATTTGTTGTTACATGCACCTTTGAGCGATAGCAATTACGTTCTCTAACAAAATAATTCAATAAACGTACCAAATCGTCCGGCTACTCCTCGGATAACCATTACACTCAGTTCCCAGACCGTCGCCGTCAATTGCCACCTGAAATTTCCAATTCCTCCCCCTCCACAACCGCCGGAAAATATCAGCCAATCTCCCTTGGCCTCTATTTAGCGCTCATGGGTGAACAAACCCAAGTACAAGCAAAACCCGAAACCCAAACTCCACCCCAATCCCAACTCCAACCCCGATCTCCACCCAATTCCGATTCCACCCTTGTATCCAACTCTCCCGTTGATCTTCCCCCAAACCCCTCCAACCCTTCCAAAATCCCAATTCGACCCCAGAAAATCCGAAAACTCTCTTGCACCCCCTCCTCAAAAACCCCACAAACGACCGCATCCTCCGCGACGCCAGCATCCACCAAGAGTCGCCGAAAGAGCGCGCCAAAATCATCATCATCTAGGGGTTTGCCTCAAATCATCAAACCCTTATCAGCTAACGGCGAAATCGACAATGCACTCTTACACCTCCGTTCAGCCGACCCGCTTCTCGGTTCCTTAATAGACACACTTCCGGTCCCTCAATTTGAATCACACCATTCTCCGTTTTTAGCCTTAAGCAAGAGCATTCTGTACCAGCAACTAGCTTATAAAGCAGGCACCTCAATTTACACGCGCTTCGTGTCCCTTTGTGGCGGAGAGGATGCCGTTTGCCCTGACGTCGTCCTCTCCCTATCCGCTCAACAGCTCAAGCAGATAGGTGTCTCGGGGCGAAAGGCTAGTTATTTATATGACTTAGCTAATAAGTATAAAAATGGGATTTTGTGTGATGATGCGCTTGTAAAGATGGATGATAAGTCATTGTTTACCATGCTTTCGATGGTGAAGGGTATTGGTTCTTGGTCAGTGCATATGTTCATGATTTTTTCACTGCATAGGCCGGATGTTTTGCCTGTTAGTGATTTGGGGGTCAGGAAAGGTGTCCAGTTGTTATACGGATTAGAGGAATTACCTAGGCCATCCCAGATGGAGCAATTGTGCGAGAAATGGAGACCATATAGGTCAGCTGGGGCGTGGTATATGTGGCGGTTTGTGGAGTGGAAAGGGACTCCAACTACTGCTGCAGCTGCAATTGATGCTGGTAATGTGCAGCCGTTGCAGCAAATTCAGACAGGACAGGAGACACAGCAACATCAGTTGCAGCTTCTCGAGCCTATAAATGGCATTGGGAATCTTGGGTATTTGACTATTTTCCGCCTGAAGTAATAATAGTCGTTTCTATATTAAATTCTAGAGTGGTGTGTGGTCATTAATCCTGTCATTGTGATTGAACTTCGATTGCCTTCCCGTTGCTTTTAAATTTGAATTCTTTTGCAGTCTATTAATCGCTCATGAGATAATCTGCAAATGGCTTGCACTGTGTTTTACATTCACTGCCCCGTTAGACAACAACCTGCATACATATTTTGAAGTAATTTCTTATCTCTTTTTAATGATAATATAGACAATATTTAGTTGTGGATGGAAAATCCTGACTGTTGCTTCCTTATATATGCTCACAATCATGGCTTCATAAAAATCGGCTAATGTTTGTTATGCTTGCTTGCATGATGGCTTTACATGAATAGCTTTCGAAATTATCAAAATGTTCAAACTGGAATCAAACAGCTTGTTGTATGACTAAAGCAGCTTTTTCTTAAACTTTCTCCAGTGGTTGTAGTTAGGAAATTTTGTAGATATGTCAAACTATCTTAAATTCTTTAGGTTTTGGATGTTGAGTTTGGTTTGGAAGTCATATTGGAGCTTAGGTGTATCAAATATTGGAAAAAAGATTCATCTGGAAAAAAAAGAAACAGATTGAAAGAAGAGTAGACTTTTTACCTTTTGTGAGACATATGCCTTGAGGAATGAGGTTGATTCGTGCTTGGTTGTGAAAATTTATGTATTTATATGTAAAATCAGGTGACTGTAGAGGGGAAAAAGATGGAGTGTATACATTAGTGAGCATGAAGTGGACTGCAGTATGTAGCACCAAATGAAGGAAGGAGGAGAGCAGATATGGTTGTTTTAGTGGTTGAAACAAAGTAGGGTACCACGTTATACAAAATGTCAAAGTGTTTGATTCATATAAGCCCTTAATTTATGATGCATTGAGATTTATGAAATGTTGGATAGTGGTGCGTAAAATTGAAAATGTATGCTTACATTTTACTTGTATGTATTAAATATGGTTGCTGATTGTCATAAACTTATTCATTAGTAAGGTTGTCAATTCATTAACTGCACCATATTGCTATTTAAAATGTTCATTGCTGTCTTTTCCATATTTGTTTTGGTCTAAACCAAAACAAACTTATTCTTTCTTCTAAGTTCTAGCTATTGAATTTCTACGTTTATTCTGGTCATTTGGAAAGTAGAGAACCCAATTTAGGTTTACCTAATATGCAACCTATTAGCGCACATTTGTCGTGCATGTCTATAATAGGTTTACTAGTCAAAGAACGCAAGGGTGTGGTCTAGTGTTTGATAAAGTGGACGGAGAACCGTGAGGTCTCTGGTTCAAATCCCGCAAAAAAATACTAGATGATTTCTTCCCATCTGCCAAAGGCTTGGTGGATAGAGTTATTCGACACATGTATTGGTGGGAGGTTGCAGGTACCCGATGGAATAGTCGAGGTATGCACAAGCTGGCCGAAGCACCACCATCATAAAATTTTTNCTGGTGGAGTTGGCGATGAACTCTACCTATGTTAGTTTTGCAAAGTATAGTTGGTTTTAAATCCAAATAGATAAAAGTTTAGTAGGTCGATGGCCAAAGTAAAATAGGGCAATGGAATATTCAATTTGTTGGGACCTAGCCACCTAGGCAAGTCCCTGAATTGAGCAGAATGGATATAAGATGATGGATATAGTCGACCTTTAGACTTAAAGCATTGTTGATTGGTATATAGTAATAGACAATTATGTTGCTGAATTAATAGGTTGATGTGGGAACTAATGCAGAGGGTGTTTGGATTGTCTTTTAAAAAGTAGCTTATAAGCTAAAAGCCAAAAGTCATAAGTCATAAGTTGGTAATACCCAACTTTTGGATTTTGACTTATATTTGTACTTTTCATGCGTAAAAGTATGTGCTTTTAAGCACTTTTTATCATTGCCAAACACCACAAAAACTAGAAAAGTGCTTAAAAGCCAATAAGCACTTAAAATAAGCCAATCCAAACACCCTCGTAGTCTAATGACATGACTACTAATGTTACTGTTACAAAAATAAATGGGTATAGGACTGTCGCACCATTGGATCCTAGCATTCATGTGGGGCGTGGAACAAGGAAAAAGAAATACAAATCCAGTGTTGTGAAGAGCGTGAAGCGAGGAGAAGCGACAAGCCCCTTTGTGCTTAAAGCGAGAAGCGAGAAGCGCTCGCTTTATTCAACCTGCTACGCTTCACATCACAGAAGCCCCCGAGGTCTCAGCTTTAAGCGCTGAAGTGAGCACTTTTCACAACACTGCAGATATCTCAATCAGCCATGGCGCGTTTTCCAAGACAAAAAGGCGACAAGTTAGACAAAACCCGTGAAAGATTTTCAATGGATGATTTTAGTCAATGTTGGTGAGGTGGAAGACCTTGAGGTCTAGGATTTTAAAGGCCGAAACCATCTGGCAGTGAGGTGCAGATCCTGGGGCAAGGATCCTAAATTCTTTCGGTGCCTTATGAAGAGGTTAGAGACAAATCGTACCTTATCAAAAAAAAAGTTAGAGACAAATCGTAATTTTTCTGAGAGAGCATGCTCTTTGCACTTGTGTATCTGTTGTTGTAATGATGGTCATGTACTACAAGGCTTAGTCCTTTAATCATTCCGTACCTAAGGAAATTGCTTAATTAAACACCATTAACTAGTTGATTGATAGTAGTTGCCTAATTACTCCGACTTAGTGAATGGTTGCCAACTTGCCCCAGCTACTCTAGGCCTTTTTACCAATTTTTTGAGGTAAAGTAGATTCTTAAGAGAAAAAGATGACCCTTTTTTCTTTGTTTATTTAATTTATGTAACCAGGCCATTCTGGTCTGATCTGCCCCTGGGCCAGCTACAATTTCCAGGCCGGATCTCTCAGATATACTTTTAATGCACCTTTAATTAGTTTATATACATTTTCTCTCAAGCAAAAGGGTGCAAACGCACTCTTGGAGTCCTAAGAACCTTTAACCTTATTCCCTAAGCTAAGATTAGTTGCCTTTACTCTTTAAGCTCTATTTATTAATGAACAAATCAATTATACGAAGTAATATCATTAACTCAATCATAGTAATAACCTTTAATCTCTCAACCTTTTTAGAAAGATTTTGTTGTATAAATGACACTCCAAATGGATATTCCAGAATTGATGAGTGTTTGGTGAGAAACGGGAGGAATGTTATCCTCTTGAGAGATTGAGATTCTCAATCCAATTATTACACCTTTTTGCATAGTTGGCTGTTCCTATCCTCCTACATGAATGAGGTGTGTAATCAATTAGAACCCTGTTAGGTTAAAATTTTTCTTTTGGTTCAGTTTTTTGCTACTGTTGGTATATTAGCATTGTTTTTCTTGCGCTGTTTTTTCCTCTTTTTCCGATGTTATTCACTGATTCGTTAATTTTCTTTCCATAAGAATCTTTATGAAAGAAAAAGGGGGCTGGATTAGAGCTGAAGTAATATAGTCTATTAATGTATCATGCCCAATTGGTGTGAGAATGAGGTGTGGTTGATTGATTGGAGTTTCCACCTTGTGCTCTATTGACTTGTTAGTATTCATTGCTGTCTATGTTTGAGGTTTTTATTCGGTATACCAGGATATTGATCTTTGCATCATTTAACACTTTGGTTCAGGGCTTGCATTTGGAGCCAATGACCGAAAGTGTTCAGATGTCAGACTATTCGCTGAGGCTGGAATGTGTATGCAAATAAAGAATCGGTTTCCTAAGATGCTGTGCACCAAAATTCTGTGGCAAGTGTTAGTATTGAGTTAAGCTAGGTGCTGTAAAGGAATGTGCTATATATGGCAGAGCCTCATTTGTTTGATTGATGTGAGGGACTGCTGCAGTACTCGAAATGCTGTAAAGGAATGTGCTATTTGTTTGTTTGATTGCCATCCCTATCCGACTGCACTTTCTTCGTATAGAGGTAATACAATGCTCACTATTTCTACCCCCCTTCCTCCCCAATTCCTTAATTCTCTTGTCCCATTTAAATGTAAAATTACGAGAATAAACGGCTTCAAACGGTGTTGTGATTTTTAGCAGCGAGGTATGATATAAATAAACTTTACTATGATAGAGATTCAGCACTTGTCTTTGTTTCTATCCTTTTTACTTTTGTTTTTGCTGTTGAGATCCATCTCGTTTATCCTGTGTGGGTTTTAAATGGCAGCATTCGTCCAATAGCTTCAGTTCAACCAAAAGTAGTACATTTCAGAATATAAGGTAGGTGCACGTTATGAGTCTGAATCCTGTCATGAACCAAGTCTGGTATATTAGTGTAGAAGGGCTAAAGGGATGAACCAACTATCCACTGAGTGTTGAAACTATTAGGACCCATTTGGCCATAGATTTTGCCAAAATATATTTGTGGTTTTTTTAGCAAATACATGTTTGGCCATAGATTTTATTTACATTTTGGCAAATTTTCAAAACCCAAATCCCAAGAGCTGGTTTTGGCCCAAAATATCACTATTACATGTTTTAAAAATTGCCTCTAACTTTTGTATTTTATAAACGGAAAAGGGTCTGATATATCCCTCTACTATTAGAAATTGTTTAAAATTACCCTTCGTTATACTATCGGATCAAAAGAACCCCTACTGTCTTACTATCCAAACAAATATATCCCTAACTTGATGGATTGGACATGTGGCGTCTATCCAAGACTTTTAGTCCATCCGGTTTTAGTGTTTAAGGAAGAAAACGTTATTGTAGGTTCTTTTTTTATTTAAATAGTGCCTNAACACAGGGCGGAGTTACCTTATTGGTGAGTCTTGGCCGGGTTAGTGTTTAAGGAAGAAAACCTTATTGTAGGTTCTTTTTTATTTAAATAGTGCCAAATTCAAAAATAAAAGGAAAAAGATGCTTGTACGCACATTAGATTTGCTAACTCAATTGATCCTACTGTGTCTAGCCGCNGTTAAATAGAAAATCATAAATAGGCATCTTGGTCCGTGATTTTTGTTTTGTTTGATTTTACCTATTTTAAATATTTTAATATATGTGTGCAAATAATTGCATTAAGTGTTTATTTAATTTTAATTTGATTTACTTAGGTTTTGTTTTAAAATAAAAGAAAAATAATAAAAGAGAGTGCAAAATTGGGTTTGAAAATCAGCTTGGGCTGATTTTCACTTTAATTCAGGGCCCAAACAGACAACCCAACCCAAATTACCCGGTCCAGTCCAGTTCAGCCCCTAGCCATCCAAACGACACCATTTAATCCAGTATGATCTGGGCCGTTGATCTCAGATTGATCAACGGCCAAGATCTCACACCCCATAACCTACTAATGAACCCGACCCGTTCCACCCGAACCAACCTTGACCCTTACTAAGCCAAACGACACTGTTCTACTTAAGCCCTCAGATCCAGACCGTAGATCTAGATTGATCTAACGGTTGAGATCAAGCCATCTACCCCGTATATAAACCCTTCCCCCTTCACCCCGCGCCCTAATCCAAACCCCCCCCTGCCTTAG